AATGGAGACTGGGACCGAACTTGACTTTCAGGCATAATAATTTATTCCTAAACTTTAATATTTGAATTTAATTAAAAATAAAATTCGACTCCACCGTCTCCACAAACATTCTCCATTCTCTAAAAATTTTCTCGTACTCAAAAAAAAAAAAAAAAAATTGGAGACTGGGTCTGGTGATTTTTTGGGATTACGTGTCATTCAGAGAGGACACGTGGCTTTGGTCACCACGTGGGAGATGATTGTGTAGGACCGTGACTTCCTGTACTCAATTTTGTCATGTGAGGGGATGGCCCCATGTAATCATTTTTTTTATTTTGGTTTCCCATCCGGTATCCGGGGCTTCACCCCGACTACTCCGGACTCGACCAATTGTGACGCATCAGAATGGTGGGTGGGCCTCCCAACGAAGATGGCTGACAAACTCGATACTATGCCCTATGCAGCATAATAAGAATTCTTGTAAATAGAACCAAAAAGGATATATATTATGCCCTATGCAGCATGACACCAAATCAGCGTGGCCCCTGACAAACTCGATACTAGGACACTAATAAGACTAAAACGGAGCAAAACAATACTTAAGGTCTCAACTAAACCAAAAAAAAAAAAGGAGGGGGGGTGTGTAAATATAGGACTAAACTGAAAACCTTACTAAAACACTCTTGATAAGTTCATTTAATTACTCTTTATAAACTCGATCTCCCATAGTTGATTTCCATTTTCTCACTATTAGATATTGTTCAATTTGGCTCATAAACTAATGATTTTGTTTCAAGAAGTTCATCTCTACTAATAAGCTACAAACTATATCATCGGCAACTTGACTGTTAATTAATCTGCATTATCATCCATTAAAATCAAACAGTTAATTACATGAAGACTCATAGGTAGGAATTCATCTCTTTTCCTTCTAGCCCCCTTCTCTACACATTTTCTTCCCACCCTTTTCCTCATCTCTTCTCTTGAACATGCTGCAAAAATCTTCTATCTTCTGTAGGTAAAGAAGGATGAAGAGAAGAAATGAAGCAAAATATCCAATAAGAACAATTAATATTGTTTTATTCTTTGCTTTAAAAAAAATGACTTAATTAATTAAGAGTTTTAAATTTTAAATTAGAGATTTCATATTCAAATGTTAAATCAAATGAAAAGGATCGAAATTAAAAAAAAAGAAGAAGAAGAATGGTCTATTCTTTCTTATATGATTCATTATTAGATATATTAAAAAAAATTATTATTTTTAATGGTAAAAATTTATATTGATATTAATAGAGTATACAGAGGGCAAATTTTTATTTTATATAAAGCTTTTGTGGGTCAACATTTATAAAGTAAGAAATTGATCCCATTGAGGCAATGGAGTAGTATATCCAACATTACAAAAAATACAAATATATATATACACACAACAAAATATTT